TAGCGTTGATCCTATTTTTTCTTCTATGAACTTCATAGTTTTTGGCTTTATATTTAGGTCTTTGATCCATTTTGAATTAGTTTTTGTATATGGTGTGAGGTATGGGTCCTGTTTCATTTTTTTTTGCAAGATGGACATCCAGTTTTGCCAGCACCATTTGTTAAAAAGACTGTTCCCCATATGATGGACTTTGGGCCCTTATTGAAGATCAGGTGACTGTAGGTGGATGGATTTACATCTGGGTTCTCAAACCTGTTCCATTGGTCAGTGTATCTGTCACTGTACCAGTACCTGGCTGTTTTGACTACAGTACCTGTATAGTAGGTTCTGAGGTCAGGTAGTGCGAGTCCTCCTACTTTATTCTTCTTCTTCAATAGTGCTTTACTTGTCCGGGGCTTCTTCCCTTTCCATATAAAGTTAATGATTAGTTTTCCCGCCTCTTTAAAGAATGTCCTTGATATCTGGATCAGGATTGCGCACTGTATTTGTAAATTGCTTTGGGTAGAATTGTCATTTTCACAGTGTTGAGTCTGCCTATCCATGAGTGTGGTATGTTTTTCCATTTACGTAGCTCACTTTTGGTTTGTTGCAGTAGTGTTTTGTAGGGTCTTTTACGTCCCTGGTTAGATTTATTCCTAAGTATTTTATTTTTTTAGGGGCAATTACAAATGGTATTGTTTTCTTGATTTCCTTTTCATCATTCTCTTTATTGGTGTATGGGAATCCAACTGATTTTTGTATGTTTATCTTGTATCCTGTTAGTCTGCTGAATCTTTTTATTAGTTCCGGTAGTTTCTCGTGGAGTCTTCAGGGTTTTCTATGTATAGTATCATATCTTCCGCAAGCAGTGACAGTTTAACTTCTTCTTCACCAATTTGGATACCCGTTATTTCTTTTTCTTGCCTTATTGCTGTAGCTAGGACTTCCACCACAGTGTTAAATAGGAGTGGTGATGAAGGGCATCCTTGTCTTGTTCCTGTTCTCAAGCCGAATGTTTTCAGCCTCTCTCCATTAAGAATGATGTTGGCCATTGGTTTTGCATAGATGCTCTTTATTATGTTGAGAAATTTCCCTTCTGTACCTATTTTATTAAGAGTGTTTAATCAGGAATGTGTGTTGGACTTTGTCAGGTGCCTTTTCTGTGTCAATTGAGATGATCATGTGATTCTTTTCTTTCCTTTTATTTATATGTTGGATTACGTTGATTGATTTTCTAGTGTTGAACCATTCTTGCATACCTGGTATGAATCCTACTTTGTCACGGTGTATTAGTTTTTGATATGATGCTGAATTCTGTGGAAATTTTTGCATTTATATTCATGAGAGATATTGGTAATTTTCTTTTTTTTGTAGTGTCTTTGCCTGGTTTTGGTATCCGAGATATGCTGGCTTCATAGAATGAATTTGGAAGTGTCGCTTCCTTTTCTGTGTTCTGAAATAGTTTAAGTAGTATTGGTATAAACTCTTCTCTGGTGTTTGGTGGAATAGTCCAGTGAAGCCATCAGGGCCGGGGCTTTTTTTTGTTGAGAGTTTTTTTTTATTACCTTTTCAATCTCTTCTCTTGTTATGGGTCTGTTCAGTTTTTCAGCATCACTTTGTGTTTGGGTAGGTCGTGTGGTTCTAGAAATTTATCCATTTCCTCTATTTTTTCAAATTTGTTGGAGTATAGTTTTTCATAATAGTCTGTTATGATCCTTTTTATTTCAGTTGGGTCTGTTGTAATGTCCGTTATTTCATTTCTTATTTGGGTTATTTGCATCTTCTCCTGTTTTTCTTTCGTCAGTTTGGCCAGTGGTTTGTCAATTTTGTTGATCCTTTCAGAGAACCAACTTTTGGTTTTGTTGATTCTTTCTATTGTTTTTCTATTCTCTATTTCATTTATTTCTGCTGTGATCTTTACTATTTCCTTTCTTCTGGTGGCTGTGGGCTTTTTTTTTTTT